ATGAGGGCCAGTGACACTGCCCTCTACAGCTAAGATGGTGAACAACAGCTCAACCTGGAGCTGGGCTGCCATAAGCTACCTTGTGTAGCCAGCAGCCAGCGTGAGCTGCCAAGAGCTGCCGTGAGTGGCTGTCCAGTAGCCGGCGACCGATCTGCCTCATCCGGGAAAAGCACAATGATAATACCAACATGGGCCAGTGAAGTGACGTCCTCCACAACTAGACTGAAGAACAAAAGGACAGCAACTTGTCTGTTCCCCTTGCCCAATTCCCCAACGCTGTTCCCCTCCCCCAATTCCCAATAAAATCTTAAAAAAACAAAAAATCCTGGTTCCAGCACTTGCCAGTTGGAGGAAACTTTGAGAGTCACGTTGCTTCTCGGTAAAATAGGGTTAAAAGACCTACCTCTTAAGGTAATTAGAAGGATGAAATAAGATGAAGTGCCGGGTACATAGTATATGCCCTCCTACGTTGGTTCCACCACCCCTTCCTTATTCTCTACCCCTGAGATGGAGTGATTCTGGGGGAGATCCTCCCTCCCAGTTTCCTTTCAGACAGAGAAATGATTCGGGGAGTCGACAGGCACCTACCTCACACACAGCTCCAAAAGGAGCTAAGACCTGGGCCTACAAAAATGTGAGGCCATCCCCCCACCCGCTTCCCAGACCTCCTAGGCCAGAGCACACAGCTGGAGCACCAGAGACACCAAGCCCAAGAAGCCACATCCAATCCTGTCCCTAATGACCCAGCTCACATGCCTCCTGCTCCTGGAAGCCTTCTCAACTCCCTCACCTCTCCGTCTAACTCCCATCTCTCTTTCCTCTGAGACCTCTAGTGCTCCATCTGTACCTCTCTTTGGGCACCCATCCCTTTCTCATTTATGTTAGAGTTACAGGTTAAGAGCACAGGCTTCAGGGCAGAAGAATCTGGGCTGTAATACCAGCTGTGTTACCTGGGGCAGGACACTTGACTGCTCTGTGCCTCAGTTCCCTCATTTGTAACTTGGGAGTCATTACAGTTGTTACATCATGAGTGTGGAGAGTTTGGTGCTCAGCACAGTGCCTAGCTCCTCAATGTTATCCGGTTTTTATGGTAACAGAGGTCTCCTTCTGAGTCTCAAGCTATCCCCCCACTCCCCAACAGCTGCTCATACAAAGCAAATAACAGGTAATCATGTCACTATTCTCAGAACAGCTGAGAGAGTGGGTGTGGGGCTCTCTCTCGCAGAATGTCACCAATCCTCTCCAGTCTTCCTCACCATGCAAATCTCTCTCCAGTTCCAGATAATGACAGCCTCGATCTTC